AGTGATTCAGTTTTCAGTGTTTGGGGATCGTTTAGGATACTTTAGACGACCAGCAGTGAAATTCCAGCCTGTGGTGATCTCTCCAGGAGAAACCACAGCTTCACCTGTGAAAGAAAAACATGAAATTATTTCAAATGAAACTAACATTAAAGCATTGAGAGTATAAACGTTTTATCGCACGATTCTTGGTGCAAAACCAAGAAAGAAATCCAGCATTGTCTTCACGAGCAGCATGCAGTGGACGATTTTGATCACTTGGGGGAGGTAGTAACCAAGCCTTCCTACTGCATTAGTATCACAGCCACGTAGGAACTTATCTTTTCCAAAATTGCACTTAGATTAGAGAATGATGAAAAGCACTTTGTGTTCCTGTTCTCAACTCCAGCAACACAAATCTAATAGTTTTAGAAGTGAGATGGAGGCAGATTGTCCTAACACTCAAAATGTGACTCATGCAGGCTAAACAGAAAAATGATTCAAGGGAAAATTAAAGGAAATCCTTTTCAGCTCCTTCACTTCGATCAGATGAGGGATAAACGACTTTAAAATGAAACTACTAAAAGTATTTCCCCACAAATATGTAATTATAAGACCTCACTTCTATCCCCCAAAAGGATGACATGATGTTTTCTTAAAATTTTCTTAAAACCTCAGATTACATCATTAAAACTTCTATAAATACGAATTTATCTCCCTTTGTTTTTTGCTGTGTGTAAATTATTGACATTAATGAACATTTATCCATTCTGCGTAATGACGCACATGGGCACGGGTGTCCAGTTCCAGCAGAACAAACACCAAAAAGCACAGTGCGTGTTATTTGTGTAAATGTGTAAATGTAGCCTATAGGCTATCCAACTTGGGTTTTGACGTCACGCGTCAACTTCTGCGATATTTACGCGCAGGGCAGCGTTTAAGTTTTGTCTTCCTGCACATCGGAGTGAAAGACGTGACGTGCAGTCCATCAGGCCGAGGACAAAAAGGAAATAAAATCCCGTTTTGTAGGTCAGGTATTTTGGGAATATGCCCGCTGCGCGCCACGTGCGTAATGACGAGTGCGCCTGTAAATAGATGAAATAAGGCGTCGATACTTTGGAATGAAAGAGAGCACACCAGCGTGGTGTCTCCTGACGGGGGTTAGGGAAAGGAATTAATCATTTCACGCACCAACACCGGCACTTCAGTGCGCGCTTGTGCCACCTCCAGACGGCTCTCCAAGTCCATGGATAAAAAGAAACACGAGGCGGCAGAATGGTTGTTGCAGGAGCGAGTAACGGGACTTTCGGCAGTGGCAACATGAGGTCGTCGTTCATGATAGAGGACATAGTCGGTGGCGGAGATCCCGGGGGCTCCACTAACATGATGATCTCCGAGGCTCTTGCG